CAACCTCCCCCACCCTCCCACCGAACAGTCTGTTTTTTAAGTTTCCAGTTCCAATTTCGGTTGGGAAAAATGCCATGCCAGTTTTTTCACGTATATGGCATGCCACAGCCTTTAGCTTTGCTTTTCCTACATCAAATTATGTTGGTCGAGTCTGACTAATGTTGTTTCATTAACAGTGATACTTTATCTTGTATGTTATTGCTATTACTTCTCCTTTGTTTCTTTACCTTCATGTTTATCTGTTTCAGAAAACGGTATTATGCATGCCCAGATGACAAGACTTTTCGGCAAGCCTATATAGCCAGTCGCACTATAATATGTCTTTGAGCTCTGAATTTGAAGGAGGGATAACAAACGGGGCTCGTTGGTATGAAATGTGAAATTGCATTGTTACATTTATCTCTGCTTTACCCTTTCTGCCTGTCCTTTTTAGTATTTTCTAAGTTTCACTATATTCACTGAATATACTACTGAAGGCACATATTCACCCTCTATTTTGAACTGACCAATGAACCATCTCGTGTTATGATTTTCAAGAAAGGGGGTTTCACATACTAAATGTGAATAATAAAAAGTGAAATTTGACTTTAAGTGTTTCTGGCATTTTAAGAAATTGTTATCTCTCTTCCCTCTAATTTCACGGCATTTAAGCATGTAATTTTATGTTAGAAGAAATCTGTACGGCTTCTTTTGTCCTAGACTCTAGTATTAAATTTCCCAGCAAATTTTGGTGGAGTCATGGCCCATTGAAAGATGGGTCTTACTTTTATGCAATGATGAGAGGAAGAGCAATCTGAGCAGAAGGCAATTTTCTCCATGACAGCTATTAGGAAGCACAATATCAAGGGATCTACTAACATGCTTCCAAGTTCCAGGTTTAAAATATGAAGGGAAGTTCAGGGGGCTTTAGTGAAATTTACCGCCAATATCTTTTAAGAAGAAAAACATCCTGCTATGAACTTCTCTTTTTTCTTTTTCTTTTTCTTGTTTAAATTTTTACAATAAATATTCTTGGTTTGATTTGATCAGGATTTTCTCAGGTATCCTATATACGGTGGTATGCAAGATTGGAATTACATTCATGGGGGCTGTTTAGAATTAACCTTGGAAATAAGTGACGACAAATGGCCTAAAGCAGATGAGGTGCTTTTCAAAGTTCCATTGAAACTTTTCTTGCTATCTTTTGCTGACAGACTTAACACAAAATTTAAACTTCCTTTCCCATTATTCTTCTTAATAATATGGTTAAATAATTGCTATAGGACTATATTATCTTTCCACAATAAGGTTGTTATTTTGGAGAGTTCAACAACTTTGTTGACGAACCATCCATTTAATCTTAACAGTCTGTCAAGAAAATCAGCATGTGCTAATAGCTGAATAGATATATGCATCTTCCATGATTTATATGCAAAATAAGCGCAAAATATAAAGTTTTGAATATATTAGACATTTCTTGGTTTGTTCTTTATATTTATGTTTTAAGATATCACCCTTGTAGAATTTGAAAGCACAGTGCGGAGCAAGTTGCGAAAAAATTGCTTTAAATGTGAAACCTATAAACCTGTAACCAAAAAATTTCTTTTATGCTGGATTATGAACTGGATCTTGCTCTTTTCGTCAACCACCACCTTCACAGGAATATGAAGAAAGCATTTTCAGTTCACATGATTTTGAATTTTCAGTGATTATCCTTGTAGTTCGTATAATTTATCTACCTGGAGGTTACCAATTCAAGCCAAAATTCTATGGTGGTTTTTCTGACCAAATTTGAAAGATTTCATGGGGAATCATGTGCTTTGGTTCTCGCGTGTGCAATTATAGTAAAATTGATGTTAACAAAAAAATAATAATAAAGCAAAGCTGCTTGTTATAAGGGAAGTAGCCTGGATTTGACACCATGCACCCAGTTTACTCATGGGGGATTTGGTAAGGAGAGAAGAAATAAAGGTGATTAATCTTGATTCCACCAGAAATGTACACCCCTTTTTTGCATTACACCACCTTACAGGGTACATGGAAAAGTTGGTCAAAATAATCGTCTTCAACATCTCATATTGACAAGGTTTTAAATATCGGATATCGGGGAAATATCGGATGGCAAGAATTCATAACGAATTACGGATAATTGTGGGGATATGTGGTAAATATCGGAATGTCATATGGATGTTTGCATATATAGTATTGAAATATGAGGTGAAGAGAATTGTATTCACTTATATTACATGAGAAAATAACATGTATTTATATACAAACTAGAGAAGCTATTCTAGGAAACTAGGAGAATATAGGAAACTAAAATAATTACAATTAATCCTAATTGACAGCTATCTAATTGACAACTATCTAATTGACAGCTTATCTAATTGACAGCTAATATATAACACTCCCCCTCAAGCTGGAGCATAAATGTTAATCATGCCCAGCTTGTTACAAAGATAATCAACCCGCACCCCATTTAAAGCTTTTGTGAAGATGTCCCCTAGTTGTTCTCCAGTCTTTACATATCCTGTGGAGATCAAGCCTTGTTGAATTTTCTCACGAACAAAATGACAATCAATTTCGATGTGCTTAGTCCGCTCATGGAACACGGGATTAGATGCAATATGAAGAGCAGCTTGGTTATCACACCACAATTTTGTTGGTACTGAAGTTTTAAATCCTACTTCAGTCAATAGCTGATATATCCACATTATCTCGCACACAGACTGTGCCATAGCCCTATATTCTGACTCTGCACTGGATCGTGACACAACATTTTGCTTCTTACTCTTCCAAGAGACCAAATTTCCTCCAACAAAAACACAATAACCTGAAGTGGATCTTCTATCCATCTTGGAACCTGCCCAATCTGCATCTGAGAAACACTCAATATGAGTGTGCCCATGATCCGCATACACGATACCTCGTCCTGGTGCTCCTTTCAAGTAACACAAAATTTGCTCTAATGCTGCCCAATGATGAATTGTTGGGGATGACATAAACTGACTGACAACACTAACTGAGAATGCAATATCTGGACGAGTCACGGTAAGGTAATTCAACTTTCCAACCAACCTACGATATTTTTCAGGGTCTTCAAATGGTTCCCCATCTCCTGTAAGGTGCAAATTTGGACTCATTGGAGTACTGCAAGGCTTTGCTCCCAATTTTCCTGTCTCAGTCAATAAGTCAAGGATATATTTTCTCTGAGATAGAAAAATACCTTGTTTACTCCGAGTGACTTCAACTCCCAAGAAATACTTGAGCACCCCTAAATCCTTTGTGTGAAACTGAGTATGAATGAAAGATTTAAGGGATGAGATTCCTCTAGTATCATTTCCCGTAATAACAATGTCATCCACATATACAACTAACAGAATGATACCAGCAGTTGATTGTTTATAGAACACAGAATGATCTGACTTGCTTTTCAACATACCAAATTTCTCAACAGCCTGACTAAATTTTCCAAACCAAGCACGAGGACTTTGTTTCAAACCATATAAAGATTTTCGAAGACGACAGACTCGCCTTGACTCCCCCTGAGCAACAAAACCAGGAGGTTGCTCCATATACACCTCCTCCTGAAGATCACCATGAAGAAAAGCATTCTTGATATCTAGCTGATGTAAAGGCCAATGATGAGTAGCTGCCATTGAAATAAACAATCGAACAGATGTCAACTTAGCAACAGGAGAAAAAGTATCACAATAGTCCACTCCATAGGTTTGAGCATAACCCTTAGCAACAAGACGGGCCTTCAATCGAGCAATTGATCCATCTGGATTGACCTTAACAGTGAATACCCATTTGCACCCTATGGCCCGTTTTCCTAAAGGTAAATCGACCAAGTCCCAAGTACCATTGACATCTAAAGCATTCATCTCTTCTATCATTGCATTATGCCAACCAGGATGAGATATGGCTTCACGAACAGTCTTAGGAATAGAGATAGAATCAAGGGAAGCAATAAAAGAGCAAGAGGAAGATGACAAGTGATTATAAGAAACAAAAGAAGAAATAGGATAAGTGCACTGACGTTTACCTTTACGTAATGCAATAGGAAGATCATCGCTTGGGACCGGATCTAATGACGAAGAAGCAGGTGCAGGACATGAAACAGGAGGTGGACGCCTGGAGTACACTTTAATAGGAGGCATATCAGGAGCTGTGACTGAGACAGATTGAGTAATAGGAGACTCATCAGGAGTTGTGTCTGAGACAGGTTGAGGAATAGGAGACTCGTCGGGAAGTGTGTCAAGGTCAGAAGATGTGATAGAATATACCAATAAATCATCATCCTCCCCCTGACGAGTAGGAATAGATGAAGACGAAAAGTAAGGTGAGTTTTCCATGAAAGTAACATCAATTGAGACAAGATATTTGTTAAGATTGGGACAATAACACCTATACCCTTTCTGAAGACGAGAATAACCAAGGAATACACACTTCAATGACTTGGGATCTAATTTGGTGACATGTGGACGAACATCTCGAGCAAAACAAGTACTACCAAATATCCTAGGATCAACAGGAAACAATGACTTACCGGGAAAAAGGATTTTGTAAGGGATATCACCATTAAGAACAGAAGATGGCATGCGATTGATAAGAAAACATGCTGTGGAAACAGCATCGGCCCAAAATTGTTTAGGAACATGCATTTGAAATAAGAGGGCTCGTGCAGTTTCAAGAAGATGTCTGTTTTTACGTTCTGCTACACCATTTTGGGATGCAGTATCAACACAAGAAGTTTCATGAAGTATGCCATTAGAAACCATATAAGAGTGAAATAAAGCAGATGTATATTCTTTGGCATTATCACTTCGCAAAGTACGAATTGAAACATTAAATTGATTCTTAATCTCAGCACAAAATGCACAAAATATAGAAAACAACTCAGAACGATTTTTCATTAAATATAACCAAGTTATACGAGAGTAATCATCCACAAAAGTAACAAAATACCTGAATTCGGGTTTAGACAAAACAGGAGAAGGACCCCAAATATCAGAATGAACTAATTCAAAAGGAACACTAGCACGTTTATTGACTCGAGGACTCGAACTAAGACGATGGTGTTTGGCAAACTGACACGACTCACAATCTAATGAAGACACCTTACTATATTGCGGACAAAGTTTCTTGAGCAAAGGAAGAGATGGATGGCCCAACCGACAATGAGCCTCAAAAGCGGAAGTGACACTCGAACAAGCAATAGAAGTTGGTGTCGGTATGTCAAGAACATAGAGGCCTCCAGACTCATGTCCTTTACCAATAATCTTCTTCGTCATAAGATCCTGAAATAAACAATGATCGGGAAAGAATGAGATGCAACAATTGAGATTACGAGTGAGTTGACTGACAGAGAGCAAATTGAAGGATAAACTAGGTAAATGTAAAACAGATGACAAAGTAAGCAGAGGTGTAGGAGTAATAGTGCCAGATCCACGAACACAAGATGGTGACCCATCAGCTAAAGTAACAGTAGAAGTGGAAGTGTGAGCATGAAAAGTAGAAAAGAGACTGGAGTTACCTGTCATGTGATCTGTGGCACCAGAATCAATGACCCATTTGGAGGATGAGGAAAGAAGACACACATTAGATTTACCTGAATCAGCAATAGCAGTGACAGAAGGAGATGACGACTTGAGTGATTCCCGATACCGTGAGAACTTGGCAAATTCATCAGCAGAAATAAGGACCGATTTATCAGAGGCATCATTAGTACTCACAACATTAGCAGAGTGTTTTTGCTGATTTTTAAACTGTAGCTTTCTACATTCAAACTTGGTGTGGCCTGGCTTTTTACAGTAGTTGCAAATAATGCCTCCAGAATCCGGTGTTCGAGTTTCAAATCCTTGCGAACTGCCTCCTCTGTGTCCACTTGGAGTATAAGATTTTCCAGGCACATAATTATTACGACTCACCAAAGCACTATTAAGAGGAACGGATGGGGTAATTTCTGTGCGAAGGACTCGGGTAAAGACATCTTGTAAAGAGGAGACATCAGAACCAGAAAGAATCTGTGCCTTCACAGAATCAAATTCAGATGAGAGCCCTGCTAAAAAGCTCATGATAGCCATCTGCTCTCTCTGGTGTTGTTGAACCTTCACATCAGGACTAAATGGCAGTAACATATTAAGCTCCTCATACGTCTTTTTAAATGCCATAAAGTAATTTATAAGGGTCTGATCTTGTTTCTCCACACGGTAGAATGCTTTGCAAACCTCATACATGCGGGAGAGATTGTCTTTTCCAGAATACAAAAATTCTAAATAATCCATTAGTTCTTTAACCAACTCACAGTGATTGATTAAGCCAATTACCTCACTGTCAATACAATTCCGGATTTGAAGGAAAAAGCGAGCATCCTCCCTGAGCCACGTCTGCCTCGAATCATCTTTCTCTTTAGGAGGATCATCAGTCAAATGGTCATCTTTGTCAATACTTCGTAGATAAAGCCGAACAGTCTTGCTCCACTCCAAGTAATTAGAACCAGTCAGTCTATGGTCCGTGATTTTAGACATCACAGGAACTACATCAGATACAGCCACTGATTTTGTCTCTGATTTATTCTCAGGCATAACTCCGGAATGAAAACGGACGTCGGAGATGGGGCCCACACGCAGGGAGTCTGACCACCGGACTTTGGGGAACAGAAATTGTTTATTCAAAAAACCCTAATTTTGTAGCAAAATTCAAATTTCGTATGCTCTGATACCATGAAATATGAGGTGAAGAGAATTGTATTCACTTATATTACATGAGAAAATAACATGTATTTATATACAAACTAGAGAAGCTATTCTAGGAAACTAGGAGAATATAGGAAACTAAAATAATTACAATTAATCCTATTTGACAGCTATCTAATTGACAACTATCTAATTGACAGCTTATCTAATTGACAGCTAATATATAACAAGTATAATGCACTAAGATGTGATCTTAACATACTTAATGAAATCTAAGCATACAAGATGTAAATAATATATGTTTATGATCACTAATCATCCTTGTAAAACAAACAAAAGTACAAATCAATGTTGCGGTATTTCGTCAGATTTTTTTTAAGGCCAAAATGTCATTTGATATAAATGGGAAAATCATGATATCTTGCCTTTATCTAAACTTTTGGGTATATCGGGCCATCTCGGGAATATTTAAAACAATGCATATTGAGTACATCGTCAACAACAAAGCCTTTATCTAAACTTTTGGAGTTGGCTACATGAATCCAATTCTTCATGCTTAAAGGTTATCTCATGTATTCAGTTACTACTATCATATCCTTCTTAATGCTTCTAACCAAGTTCTCTTAGGCCTACAACTAGTCCTCCTTGCTCCGTTCATTATGTAATTGTGTCATTCCTTCTAGTGTGAAAATATAAGTATTTCCATATTGGCTAAACCATCTCATATTGGGTAAGTCAAATGGAAGTATGAAAATATATCAATAAGAATAACATTTTGGTCCATATGTTAAGAAACTTCATAGTTGTCAATGTGATCATTAATTTTGATAATAGTCGAGTATTTCAAAATGTATTTGCTTACAGAGATGAGGCGTAGAAGTTATGATTTTTTAGGTTGATATTGGTTTTTGGTTAGTACTATCACTTTTTTCCTGCTCACGACACCTAACTTCATTAGCTGACAATTTGTTTGGTGAATTGTGTTTCATTCACCGTCCTTATTTCCAAACATTTAGGACTACTGTTGCTTCTGAACCTCTTTTCCCCTATTTTTCGATCAAGTGAAGTTAGTACTTATTAGCTTTATTATGTAGCTTATAACCAAGTGTTTAGGTTTTCTTAATTGAAGTCCATCGAATTCTTTAATCAGGACAAAGGAAGTCTAAAGCGAACTATTTTCTTATGTTTCGAGATAAGGCATTGGTGTACTACATTAATAACAACAAATAGAGGCGGACGATACGCAACTAATCCCCAGAAAAGTACAACCATGAGGGCAGTACAAACAAAATCAAAATAAAAAAAAAACTACCAAGTTTCAGGATTCCTAAGTTCCACGACACGACAAGGAGAAACCCAGAAATGGATAAAAGCCAAGGAACAAAAGCAGCAATTTCTGTATATTACACCTCCGGCAAAGTGATTTAGTCTTGTCACTTCTGTAGTTTTTTATGAGGTTAGCAAATGCTCCATTTCTAGGTTTAGATACTATTGCATTTGGCTTCATTAAACAAGACAGTATGTGAAACTGAATATATGCATAGTAAATTATTGAGACATGATGTAATGCAAGTGTCCTTCAATTTCCTGCTTAACGTCATATAATTTTATCCCTGTAAACTTTTATTGCTTCCTAATGGCGGCTTACATTTTATCTTCCTGTATTTTCATAACTATAATATAATATGCATTTCTTCTAAACTTGGAGTGAGAGAACTGGTTCTGTTTAATCTGTTTTCTAATAACTGTTTGACATTGATGTCCAGCTACTTATCCTGTTTGATGAATTCGTTTCTACATGTGCTTTACTGATTTTTATTGCCTCAAAATTTGATATAGCTCTTTTTCCATCTTCACACTTGCAGCTTCCTATCCTCTTTGAGTACAACAGAATGAGCATGCTGAATCTTGTTGCAAGTCTTGCCAAGGTAAAGACTTTGATATCTTTGTTGTTGCATGAACCATATATCAGTTCTATATTCCCTAACATTTCTCTAAGAGATAGTTCACATATTTACATTGCTTTTATGTTTAAGCATGCTATATTGTGTAATTACTTGTTTGTTCAACTGTGTTATTCATCTAAAGCTAACACTGAGATTCCAAAAACTGTTGGAGCATGGTTCGTGGTTGTTGTCAAAGGACTCTGCCACCGGACCAAAATTCCGAAGTTGTGGTGAAGATTGAGGGTTATCATTTAATACTCTGACATGCCCCCACTGGTTGAGAGCCTTTCCATGGGCTAAAATCTAGACTCACGTGACAAGCTTTTTTAAAATCCACTTTAGAATCCATGCTCTACAGTCTACAAGATTCGAATCCGTGTTGCTTATATTACGCGTCAAAGAACTCTGCCACTACTCCAAAACTCCGAAGTGGTGGTGAGGGTTGAGATTTATAATTTTATACTCTTTAACAGTTATGATGATGGGTGTTAAAGGTAGATGTCAAAAATGGTAACACTCAAAAAGATTCTAAATGTTGATGAAGGTGTCAGGTGCAGTGTTGCACTGGAATGAACGTGAAATCATAGATTACAACATAATGAATTGGCATACATAAAATTCTAAAACTGCGCACAAAAAATAGTGTCTTATACATGTTCTTAATGAACTTCCAATACGATACAGCTTCATGATATTGTGTTTTGAGATCCAATTGCTGTAGATTTCATGGGCTAGTACAATATTATGGACTTGCTAGCACTAAAAGTGCAACAAAAGTTGTTAAAAGTATTTGTCATATCTAAGTACAATAAAAATAAATGTTCCATTTTTCTGCATCTGTGTCACCGGTAAGTTTCACATAAATGCTGTTCAGGTCTATTTAATGAGTTTAAAACATTGTATCTGCTGGTTCCCATGTACTTTGTTTACCTTATGGTTGTTGTTATTCTATTACTGATTTGTATGGCATACCCCATATATGTAATTCTTTTCCTATTGGCTATTAGGTTTGCAACCGTCTACTGGCACTATATTCATGGAGCCTTATAAGCTTTTTTCTTCTTTTCCCTTTCTTGATTTGGGCAATTTTCCTTCTGTGTAAAAGCATTTCCATGTGATAGTCCGCATGGTTTTTGAATCTTGAAAGGTACTCTTATGCTGAGTGAGCTTAATCTCTAACTTTGTTGAAACTAACTGCTGGTCTTCTTTCAACAGTGGAGTGGAGGTTTTATGTGAAAGTACCATAGAGGGGGGGTGAATAGGGTAATTGCTAATCTAATCCGATATTGATGTCAAATTAAAACTTATTAACTAATATCCTAGCAATGATGATATAAACAATAATATAAGCAAGGATATATAATGAAATAATAAGTGATATAAACAATAATCACAATATCAAAAGAGCAATAGTGGACAAATGACAAATGCAAATACAAGGATATGATCACCGAGTTCGGTCAACTCTCGACCTACATCTCCGCTCCTCACCTTGAGGAGAATCTCCACTATCTCTTCACAAGTCACTACACAATCGATTTTTAAAGTTTATCGAAAACTTTTACAATTCACACGTTGTCAATCTCATAATACACTCCTCTAAGTGTTGGCCTACCCGTATCACATTCCTCAAGTGCTTGGAATTACTACCTCTTCCTAAGCTATGTAGCACGGACACGGCCATCCGACACGCCGACACGAGGCAAATCCTAAAAAATACATAGGATACGTGTGTTCGACACGTGTGTCCGACACGGACACGACATGGCACGGCTTCATGTTATGCGTGTCCGTGCTTCATAGTTCCTAGGTTTTTACAACCAAGTTACTCCTCTTGAAATTGACTCCGGTCTCTCACCAACTTCTCTAAATGTCCTTATATATTACAACGTATTTATCGATAAGCTCAAGTAAATAATTTTGTTTTCTAATACAAATGAGAACGAAAATGAAAGCTCACTCAATTGTAACACTCTCACAACCTAAACTATACAATATGTGAAATACTAAAGCTCAAGTGGTTGTGTGTGAAAACAATGAGTAAAACACAATCAAAGATAAACTCAAATCAATCTAGTATAAATGTGAAAATCAAAATATGATACTAGCTAGAAGAAAGGAGTTTATTAAACTTCTCCAAAAATAAGAGAGGTAGAGATTTGAGGTTGAAATCCTTAAGAACGATGTTGCAATCCTTCTCTTGTGAAACTCTCTTCACATAAAGAAACACTTAATTTTTCTTTAAAACTCTTTAAACAAACTTGCAAAACTCTTTTATAAACTTTCTTGGTAGAACAAATGAATCAATAGGGCTATTTATAGTCTCTCCAATGAAAACAAAACAATCAACCAAAAATTAGCCGTTACTGGCAAAATTATCGTTGATCGGTCGACTGATCTTTTGGATCGGTCGACTGATAGACTGTAAAAAAAAAAAGCTGAAAAATCGCATTGGTCGGTCGACTTATGGAAAAAATTGGTCGACTTATACAAACTGGTCAGTCGACTTGTGGAAAAAATCGGTCGACTTATAACACTATTCACAGAAACCTAAAATTTTGAAAAGCTGATTTTCTAAATTCAATTTAAAATAGTAAAACAATTCCAAAAATAGTAAAATTTGGGACAATATTATACATATGAAAATAAACATGTTAGAGAAGAAATTTCTAAAATAGCACTTCGTATTTGTGAAAACTCACTGTTTTGCAAAGCGGTCAAAAATGCGAGTTTGTTAAGTACCTGATTTTTGATGAAATTTCTTCAAACAAGTTTTGAGAAACTTTTAAATGGATTAATAGACTTTAGAAAAGATGTAAAACAATATCATTTAAGTCAATAATCCAAAAACACGATATATTCTCAAATAGATGTATGATACGATAAATTGAAATAACGTGTACGTGTATGTTTTGAGCTTCAAGTATAAACACATAGAGTATAAATCTAAACTAATATACCCAAGATAAAAATCTTCGTTTAGCTCGATATTGGTAGCGAGGATGAAGCATGATATTGTCTTTGACTTGAAATGCGACGGCTTCATTCCGATTTTCCTTCCAACCTCCAATAGATATTATCGTGTTGGCGCACGTCCAACCAACCTCCAACTTAGGATCTTTATGTAGGATACCTAACAATCAAATGCAAACACTCGACAACCAATGTTAATAATTGTTTGTTAATCATCAAAACCAGATTAGACAATAAGCTCATAAACATGAGACCTAACATTATGATCATTTCACCGGTATTTCCTAATGTATTTGTTCCTTTTGTGATAGTTCATGCTTGAATGCGAGATGTCAGAATTCCACATGATCCGTTTGTGATTGTTCACGCTCAAATGCTTGGTGTTTTAGCAGCTAGATTCCCACTTGCATGTGGAGTACCTTAAGCTAGCTTGTACTTACTTTTTTGGAAGATATAATCTGTGCTTGCTATTCTGAACTTCTTTTTCAGACTTGAGCTGCCTGAAATTATGAAGTTATCTTTTAGATTTGATGCCGATAAGGGAAATAACTATGGATATTGTTTCTGGTTTGGCTTGGATAAGCAGAGCACCTAACATGGCCACCTGTTGTCGAAAAACAAACAAGAACTAATACTCTGCTAAATATGCGACATATTTTGTATAGGGGAACTTTTGTTTAATTGTTCTCTTGTGTTTGCCTTTTTTTTTGGGGTCATAACTTGGGTATTATTGTCTCTATATTTTCTAAAATATTGACTTGGAACAGTTTATTGAATCGTATAGCATCAATTTTGCAGACAGGCATTCATGGAAGGATATTCTCGTCGCACAATGGTCACCCTCTGCCTGCCTCAGTAATGATCAAGGGAATTGATTACAAAGTATGTTCAAGTTTTTCCAGTATATATATTGACTGGATGCTGTCCAGTTCGAAAATATCTATTATTTTTCTTAACACGTTCTAGGCTTCTGGTCTTCATGACGCTAAGCTATGTCTTATTGCTTTTGCATCTTTATGGATGTTCACTTTGCAAGTTTGTAGAAGATCTGTTCAGCTGGTTCTCATATATTTTGATTCTTGCATGTCGTCATTGTCTCATCTGACCTCGTATCTTTCCTCTACTGAAAAAATTTAATTCATTATGAATGTAAATTCAGATAAATGGTTGTTAGATATAATGGTGTACTCTATACTACAGATCAATGCTAGCGGAAGCTCTGGTGATTATCATCGCATTCTTGCTCCGAGTGGAAGCTATGAAGGTGAATGCTTTTCTGTACTCTCATCTCCTCTTTTTCATGTTAATTTAGAAATGCATTAGGAGCATGACTCCTGATGCTAAGATCTAGATTTAGTAGAAATCGTCGCTTCCAGTTCCTTCAGTGGAGTGTGCAGATTTCGTTGAATTTCATATAATTCTAAAGATCTTCATATACATTTGGCAAGGCCCCGACCTTGCTTATTCAGCTGTCTGTTATAAAGGGTTAGTTGCGGATAGACCCCCTGTACTACCGCACAATTCTGGATAGACCCCCTATAGTTCTATACTTCTATTGCTGCAGATAGTGCCCGTGAGTGAACTTTTCTCATTCTTTACCCAAAGAGGAGAAAATTATATTTTTCACAAATAGACCACCTGAGGATAAAAGAGTAAGAAAAATTCACTAGCGGAGTCAGGGGTTATATCCACAATTTGGTGATGTACAGGGGTCTATCCACAATTGAGCGATTGTACAGGAGGTCTATTCGCAATTAATTCTTCTTAAAAAAATAGAATGCTTAAGTGACTATTGAATGCTGTATTTCACATTTTATCTTACAGTGACAGTTTCAATGCCTGGTTACCGAGCGAAAACAACTCCAACCTTTTTGCAACAATATGCGATCAGCTTGGATTTCATTTTGGATCCTGATGGTGATGACGCACATAGACGAACACCGCTCGATGGCTGTGATTGCAACTGTCTCGGGATACTAAGGAGGGCCCACGGGGGGGTTTATCTTGCTGTTTTTGTTATCTTGTTGTTCCTCTACTTTTTGTTGAAGAGGAAAGCTGTGTTCAGGTTCCTGAAGCGAAGACACTCTTCCAGCCATAGACGAGTTTCTGTAGTTTAGACATTTCATACATGTATAATTACTTATAAGATAGTTTATTTATTACTTATTGTATAAAGAAATGCAACATTGTCCATCGTGGATGTAGCGTCTTGCTCTGATGAAGAATTCTTTGAGATCCCGCAGAGAGCAATGTGAAGAAGCAACATAATTTCACCACGGGT